ACTCTATAGCTGCTGCTGTATAGCATGCTGGCTCTATAACTGCAGCTGTGTAGCATGCTGGCTCTATAGCTGCTGCTGTATAGCATGCTAGCTCTATAGCTGCTGCTGTGTAGCATACTGACTCTATAACTGCTGCTGTGTAGCATGCTGACTCTATAGCTGCTGCTGTGTAGCATGCTGACTCTATAACTGCTGCTGTGTAGCATACTGGCTCTATAACTGCTGCTGTGTAGCATGCTAGCTCTATAGCTGCTGCTGTGTAGCATACTGGCTCTATAACTGCTGCTGTGTAGCATGCTAGCTCTATAGCTGCTGCTGTATAGGCACTGAGCGGAGCGTAAACTCGGCAGAAAATAAACGCAACCAAGGGTTTTTCGCATGCAACTATAGCCGTTGGTGTGGTAATCCGTATATATAGCGCGACGATGTATCCAATTTTACGTTACATGCGCTGCGCAGATATATTCACGCGCTTTTATTCAAAATCTTCTCGATTTAACTTCGCTGAAATTAGGTTGCCTATTTGCGTGGACATGTTTCTAATATATCGTGGTGTGTATCTGCGACAGTGACAAGTGGTAGCAAGATTACAGCTGCAGCCTTTCTTCTGGCCATCGCGTCGTATATGTAGAGAATACTGCTGCTGATTTGTTTTGCTATATTATATATACAGTAATACGCTAATAATAAGAACACAATTTTAAAATTTATTAGGAATTTTCCAGGTAGTATACAGAATATATTTATAAGAATTATAGCGCAACTAGCTAATGTTCTTCCCCATTAGACTACAACTTCACTTGGTTCATGTGCGCAAAATAATGTAAAAAATTTCACCGAGTTAAAGAAATCGATATAGGCCTACTAAAAATTCGACTCGACAGTGTCCCGGGTAGTACAGTGAACAATAGCTGACCTGAGGCGAATCCCTGACGGAGGAAATCCTATAACGTACTCTAGCTGCGGTACAGGGGAGCATAGAACCGGCCGGCTGGTGTTAAAGGAATGGAAAATGGCAGGCCACCAATATTCAGCAGCGATTCGAAATATCGCGTGCGCCCATAGGGGGCGGGGTCGGCAGCGGAAAGGATGGTGTCTCTACGGGCCGGTACGAGAGCGACGCTATTAAAGACGACTGGGCTAATTCGTTGCATTCTTTCGAGTACTCCATTTCCGCTTCTTCTCGCGCTCAAGATTGGCTCAGACTCAAATGATGTCGTCGGTACAGTCCGCTCGTTGGCGTCAGATGCCATCCGCATAGCGGCATCTAACGCATTCCCAAAGCTGAAATTCTCAATTCCCACGTACGATGGCGCGAAGTTCGATATTCCGTATGCAGATGGGTCGAAGTTGGCGAAGTTGCGCACAAAATCGGCCTGCG